AAAAAAAAAAATTTTTAACCTAAGATACTAAAAGCAAATGAATGGCAAATAACCAGTTTTCAAAGAAGAGGAAACTATGTTATGGAATACTCTAGAAAACAATTTAAAACAGATTATTAAATTATATTTTATTAATACTTGAGAAAGAAACCATTGATCATATGGAGTATTTTTTCCTTAGGTATGAATTATGCCAAACTCAACTCATCTCTTTTATCTTTATGGTTGCTATAACTGATAAAGTATGAATAAAACATAGGCGTGAGTTACCTTAATTTTCACAGAAATGTCTTTCTGTCTTATTAAAAATTACAAAAATCTTCAAAATGGTCCTAAAACTGAAATTTAAATAAAACCTTGATGATTTAGAATAAATGGATTCAGAGATACCTACAATGCCTCGGAAGTGCTTATAATTGAGTAAATACAAAGATGAATAGATGAAAAAAAAAAAAAAAGATGAATAGATGTCTCTAGTGATGCACAAAAAGTTTTGTTTTTAGCTTTTTAGGTTAAAATTATCCATCAATTAAATAGAGGATGGGGAGGACTAAGCAGGAATTTGTATTTCTTAAAAAATGCCAAAGTTTTACTTGACTAAAAAAGTTTGATATGATTCAAAGAATGCTAATGCACTTGAAGGGAGTGCTGTCAGAAATACAGTATATGGAACAAGGGCAGTAATGGATAGTATAATTCTAAGATTGCATCTAAATAGTTATGTTCCACCTGAATGACACATAATGAAAGCAAATAATTAGGAGGGCAACATGGACAGTAAAAATTTGGACATTTATGGATAAACAACAGAAGTTTAGTCTGTAGAACAGATGTGTGTATGTGTGTGTGTGTGTGTGTGTGTGTGTGCACGTGCACACATGTGTGTGAGCTCCAGACCTAAGAATTGGGAATACATTGATCCTTTTTGAGGAACAGAAACAGCATGATCTGATCCATATTTTAACCATATTTTAACAGGACCACTCTGTCTGCTATTGATGAAGGATAGCTGAAAGAAAGGGAGGCAGGGACAAGGGGCCCCCCCTGCCCTAAGAGGAAATCAGTCTTAAAAGGATTTTACACCACCTGGGAAGGAGCCCTCCACCCTTCCCCGAATGATAGGTAGATGACAAAAACCCAATTGAATGAGAGCATAGGGAGGATTAATCAAACTAAAACAGTCCTCCAATAATTGCATAAAATCCCCTAGACTTAGAAACTCTAGTGGCAACCCCTTGGGTCCATTACCTCTTTGGGAGCTTTGTATTATCACTCAGTCAACTTTGTTTTACTCTGAGTAAACCTTGCTTTGCTGCCCAGAACTCTATCTTGTCTACTTCTTCATTCTTCAAAGTGGCGTGACCAGGAACCGCAGGCACAGAAAGAAGGAAAAGAAATCCTGCAATATTATATTGAGACAAAAGTGGAATGAGGTCAGGATAGATGCAAGGAAATAACATAGGTGATGATCCACATGAGAGATAAATGTCACCTGAATCAGGATGATTCCAAATGATGAAATACTCTATCTTTTTGGCTTTATAATAACTTTAAAGGTGAAGCCAACAGGATTTGGTAGTATTAGCTGTAGGGTGTAAAACACAATACACCAAGGTATTTGGCCTGAACTCTATGTTAGCCAAATAAATTTCAGATTTTAAAGAAACCTTAGAAACTTTCTCATCAAGCCTTTGATTCCTTTAAGAATCCTGTCTACAACAACCTGCTCCTCTTTGAGCAGTTCCTTGACAAGGAACTTAATAACTCAGGCAGCACTCATCCCATTTTAGAATAGCTCTTTTTTTCTTCTCTCTTTTTTTTTTAAAGATTTTATTTATTTATTTGACAGAGAGAGAGATCACAAGTAGGCAGAGAGGCAGGCAGAGGGAGAGGGGGAAGCAGGCTCCCCACTGAGCAGAGCCCGATGTAGGGCTTGATTCCAGGACCCTGCGAGCATGACCTGAGCCGAAGGCAGAGGCTTAACCCACTGAGCCACCCAGGTGCCCCAGAATAGCTCTTTTTCTTACAATGAGCCAAAACCTGCTTCTCTGTGATGGACAGGTGTGATATTGTAGTTTATAAAAGTAAATAAATATTTGATCTTTGTCCTGTTTGGCACGGAACTCCTAAAGCCCTTGGAATTTTCTAAGTGATGATTTCCACAACAAATCCTCTTCAAACACACTTGACTTTACGTTGAATATATGGGGTGAATTTTAGAAAACACTTAAGGATGGGGGCGGGTCACTAAGGGAACCAATAATGTGATTAGAGGACTGGAAATTTCAGTCCCATCTCTGCAACCTCTGGGGAGTAGAGAGGGGTTCGAGATGGAATTGAGTCACCACTGGCTGGTGATTTAAACAGTCATGCAATGTTACAAAGCGTCTGTGAAAACCCAAGAGGACAGGGTTGAGGGTACTTCCAGGTTGGTGAAATCATAATGCCTCTATATGACACTGTGCTGGGGCTTCTGACTCCAAGGGAACAAAAACTCCTGCATCCAGAAACTTGGCCTTGAGTATCTCTTCTTCTGGCTGTTGATTTGTATCCTTTATATATTTTGCAATAAACCAGCAATCTATTGAATAAACAGGGCTCCGGAGTTCTGTGAACCCATCTAACAAATTATTCAAATCTATGGCGGGGGTTGGAGGGAAGGGTATGGGATTTTCTGATTGTTAGCTAGTCATTCAGAAGCACAAGTAACAACCTGGATTTGTGATTGATATCTGAAGCGGGGGCAGTCCATAAGACTGAAACTTTAACCTATGGAATCTCCAAGGAGAGTGTCAGAATGGAGTTGAATCATGGAACACCTAGCTGGTGTCTGAGACTTGCTTGGTGTCGGGGAAAAAATACACACATATTGGAATTGGTGTCAGAATTGTGGCAAGTGAATGAGAAAAGATGAAAAACCTGGTGGAAAGGTGGTTAAGAGAAGAGTGGGGAGAACCGTATTTGTTTCTTCACTGGTATGTCCCCTGTCTACAGCATGGTATGTAGCATTAGGTGTTTAATAAATATTTTTTTTTTGCTATCTGAGCAATTTGTAAGAAGAGCATTGGGTCAGAATGATGTGACCATAGGTTATTAATTCATCATTTCTTAATGAGAGTGTAAAAGAATACAATTGAAAGGGTTTCTCTACCCATCATGCTTATATAGATGTCTTACTGATTCAGTGAGTTTGTGATGATGGTGAGAGTTTTTGTTTGTGTTTTGTTTCATTTATGGTGATGGTTTTAAAGGAATGAAAAATACCCATGTATTCTAGTTTTTGGCTCCGTGGTGTCCTAAGTCTCAGCTTCTCAGCTATATTAAAGTGTATATACCCTTTAAATTAGGAGTGAGATACAAAATATAAACAGGTACAGTTTGGTCGCCAACTAATCAGAGTGAATGCCGGCTAGTCTGGTGCATATCAGCTAATATCTGCCTGCTTCAAACTATGGGAGAATCAAGCTATTAGAGTGCTGAGTTTAAATACTACATATTTTTATTTTGTCTTTATTGTAATGAACAAGCCCTATCTTTAGCTCCTGCTGTGCACTTTTGGAGGGTCTTCCATATGGTTGCTGCTAAGTATTTTGGCATTTTCCCAACTGTTACAATTGGGTCAGTGGGGGGGATTGTATAGGAGTAATAAAACAAGGGTGACTGCTGCAGGGAGGAGTACGATTACTACGCACATAACAGCTTATTGCCTCTCATGCATTCAAGCACAGCTCAGTGCCATTCATTACAACAGGCAGCCAGGGTAAACCGCCTTTTGCCACAGAGTTTTCGCCAGAAAGGCCAGGCCTTACGTGCAGAGCCTACATGTTCTTGTTTACATTTTTTCCCCATATCTGTACTTCTTTATTGTCCCGTAATATCTAGAATAATTTGAGGATGAGACAATTACACTTTGCATTTTACTATGTCACTCTGAGAAAGTTCTCCTGAGCAGTCTCTTAGCTACATTCTAGCAACAACAGTAGGATTATCAATGGCCCTGAGGACTTTGAGATGAGAAAAAAATGGGGAAGCAAATTCTGACTCCCACAAACACTTAGAAATCTTTGAGACATGATTCATAAAGCCAGAGGTGACTAATATTATTGACACTATTACTGGAGTGTTTTCCCTGGCGGAAATGACACGAAACAAAGGCTACTACTATTTTTATCCTGTGGAAGACAAGTATTTCTTAAAGCTCTAACAGATTCAAAGGAAAAAAGTTCACAGCAGAATTAAGATTTTAAATAGCGAGATAATATATTAAACTGAGGTATGTGTGTACACACACACACACACACACACACAATGAAGTAAAACAATGAACTTAAGGTCTTGCTCCAAAGACTATGTTTTCCATATTTATGCTTATATGCACAAGTATTCTTTAAATAATTTATTATGCTTTTCCTTTAGGGGCTCCTCTCCCCACATTAAGCACCAAGATCCAGCTATATAGCATTCTAATAGGTTCATAGTATACTCATGAATTTTTCCTGAACAATTCCAAGAAATCGAAATTTTTAAGAAATAGAATTGGAGACGTTTAAGCCAGGATACAAATATGGGTGATTTTTGTTTTGTTTTGTTTTGTTTTTGTTTCCGGCCAAGAATAGTAAATAGTGTTGCATTCAGAAAGTTTCCTATTCCTTCCCTTCCCCGCCATTCTCAAGCCTAGCAACAGGATTCCCAGAGACACACCGAGTGGTCGGCACCCTGGGCCCAGCCAGGCAGGTGAACGCCTCCGGACCCACAGGGGGCTACGCGGGTGAGCGCCTGGGAGATTGCTGACGAGTTAGGGCGGAAAAGAACGTGAACTTCGGAAACAAACACCACCAGGGCTCGGACCACAGCCCTGCAATCAACCCCTGCACTTATGAAAGTACCGATATTGACAGCAACGGGATGGTTGTAAACCAACTGGTTCCGGGACGACCCACACTTGTCCTAAGACGCTGGAGACCCCCACTTCCAGCTTCCTCCAAGGAAGGAAGAAAGGGCTAACCAAGGCTAATCTCCGTTAGAATGCCCCCACGAACCCGCAGAGAGAAGCTTCCCGACACCGCCGACGGTCTCCCACGCTCTGCTACCACCGCAAGCCCCTGCCTGACACGCCACGCCGCGAGCCCGCACGCTGGAAAAGCGGGCAACAGCTGAGGTAAGGGGAAAGGCAGCAGCTTCAGGCGCCGCAGTGCGCAGGCGCTTGCGCCTAATGCGCAGGCGCCGCCTAGAAGTGACTTCTCCAAAAAGTGTCTTAGTTCTCGGTCACCTGAGCCCCGGGCGACTCCGCTGCGGTAGGCTTCGCGAATACCAGCCTTCCGCGGGTCCTGTCTGGAGACCCCGCCCTCTTCTCTTGCCCTTCGCTCCGCCACACCAAACCCAGTTAGGGCCTGTTCTTTCCCTCCTGTGCTTTCCCAGCCGGGGTCGGACCGGACCGGGCCGAGCCGGGCAGCCCAGACGCGGTCCCTGACCATGGCGTCACTCTTCAAGAAGAAAACCGTGGATGGTGAGTTCAGGCCGGGCCAAAGGGGCCCAGCTCTGCGTTTCCCTGGCGTGTTTTGGGGGCTTCCGGCCATGGTTCTTTCAGCTGTCCCTGGGGGCGGGGCTGGATCAAGTGGCCCCACAGGTGACCGCCCTCGTGCGTCACTTCTCTGCTTCCCCATCTCTGCTGACTCGCCACACCTCATCCTCACCTGAATAATCTGGCTTCTTCTCTCTGTAACACACACACACACACACACCACCTTTATCGGCCCCCTTTCGCGTCCCCCTCCCCCCGTTTTTCCTTTAGCGAGACCTTGGGCATTTCGAGGAGACAGGATCTGCTGGCCCTTGAGTGTCATTAGACGGTGATTTGATGAATTTCTTGTTGGTTTCATCTGTTGGTTTGTTGCTTCTTCAGTTTGGAGCTGTATTACTTATACAGATTTACAAACAGGAAAACTGTGTTCAGCTGGGGGAGGGGATAACAGGCTTCAGTAAGAAAATGAACCTGGGTCGGGGTCGACTTGCCCTTAAGAATATCCCATCAAGAGAGATGTGAAACAGCTGCTTCTTTACTGACTCCAGGAGAAATACTGGAGAAACCAAAGGGAAGTGCCTTGGGTTTAGTTTTCATAATGTATTTTTCCTTCCCTGTGATTATCTTTTGCTGTCTAAAGTAAGATGTGGTATGTATTATCTGCATAGAAGTTTACATTTTTATGTATTTGGCATGGTTTCAGACATTTAGTTCAGTGTCATATTAAGGGGAAAAATGAATAGAGAAATATACAAATTGGTGTTTATGAGCAATTACTGTAATGTATATGTAACACTGATTAATTACTCTTGATATTTTCATTGACTGCCACCAGGAATCAAATTCATTCAAGTTATTTAAAAATTCTGTTTCCTATTACATGTTGAGTCTAGGTTGCTGTTGGTTCAACCAAAGAATCACTTCTTTGTAAGGGTCTAACCCAGCCACAAAAGGAGCAGTGGTAGCTAGACAGTGATTGGTACAAACAGGGTGCTGAGTCCAGACCTGGGGTAACTCCTTCATTCCTTTGTATTGACTGTTCCAGTGCCAGCAACATTATTTTGGGGAGGATAACAAAGACATCACTTTTTCTCTGCCACTCTCCCCTTCACTTCAACACATAATGTAATGTTAGTCCTGATTTAGTACACAGCATAATACATTTTTGCCTACCTTGAGTGGGTGAAAAACCTTTTTTCGATTTATGGTCTTTTTATTAACTAAGAAATACCATTTACAGGACCTGGACATACCTTTCAAGTTGGTGTAGGATATAGTACAATTATGTGAAATGGATTTTATTTGAGAATGCCTTCTAATCTTTAAGGGGGCACTTCACTGTTTCAATACCAGTATTGTGGTTTCCAATTACTGTATAGTACTTCAGGGGGGAACAGGTTTATCTTTTGTTTCAGTTTTATATAGCAAGAATTTACTAAACAGAGGAAAAGAGTTGTACCTTTGTTACTGTGACGTTACAAATTATATTTTAAAAAACATCATAATATTAAAGGCCAAACAGCTTTAATTGCTTAATATATGTCAGATATTTTCAAAGATATAAATATCAGTTCTATATTCTCATCACTGTGCTTCTTGGTGCTTTTGGCAGCTTAGTAACTATTGTACTTGAAGTATAGAACAGAATTTAAAAAAAAGTGAAGATGTGCAGTGAGGATTTTTAACTGTATACTCATTTGCACTTGGGTTAATTCATCCAAGAAATAATGTTTTTTGCTAAATAGATTTATTTGTGAAAATAAAGTCTTAAGGACTTTAGCTAGGAGCTGTACTACAGATATAAAGATCTGCATGTGAAATTTCTGAATATAAATTTGGCCACCATGTACATTTACTATAACTACCAAACTACATACTTGATTTTTTTTTTTACATTATTATGTCAGTTCAGATCACTTAATGCCATTTTAATTATAGGTTTGTACTTTTATTCTGATATGGAGCTTTATTAATGTTTTTACTCCTTGTTTTATTAAAAAGAAGGTGTTTTGTTTAAAAGGTGACAGCATTCTTCTTAGCAGTAATGAGGCTATATATTATGAAATGTAATGTATTTTTATGGATTTTTTGCAGATCCTTGGACTCGTTGATTATTGATCATAAGATCTTTTGCTGTATGCTGCCTTTTTATCTGTTTCAGCAGTAATGAAATTCTGATATATAAGGGAGATATGTAACCACATAGATCTGGAGAATAATTGAATCTTTTTGTCTCTTTGGATTGGCTGGAAGAGTTGCATACTATATCATTAAAGACTACTGCACTTGTAAATTAGAAAGGGAGACAACATTACAGCACTTATTACTATTCAGAGTTATGTTTAATTCATTTTGACACAAAGATGAACAAGTCTCTGTAGTGTATACTTTGTTACAGAAATTAATGAGAATTGTACCTCAATGCCATAGAAGATAAAGATATCTTTGAATTTGAAATTACAGTTGAGTATTTGGTTTTCCTTTTACCTATTTATAAAGTATACACATATACATAGGTTAAAGTGTTCACAGTGTTGTTGTTTTTTCCCCCAAGTGGACTAATGGTGACTTATTTATTGAAACTAATTATGAACCTGTGAATCAGGATGCCATGAGGATTTGTCATAAATGAACAACTAAATATGTCTTTTAAAAAGTGAAAAATTTTAAGCATTATATAATTGTTGTCTGTTCTCCTCAATAAAGGCAAATTTGAGGTCCTCCTCTAAGCCAGCACTGTGATAGCATTTTGTATGCAGCATCTTATACTTAATTCTCAGAGAATTTAGAAGTAAGTACTACTATCATCCTCACTTTGTAGGTGAGGAAATTGGGATACAAAGGACTAAGTAATTTGCCCAAGGTTACACAACATAGTGGCAGAACCAGGACGTCATCCCTTGAGTATTATCATTGGTAATATTTTCTTATTAGAGATCCTATGGCACGGTTTATTTTGCTGTTCTTCCTAGTATATGGAATTCTCAACTTTTGGTAGGTACTGTGTAATGGTAACCATTTATCTGTGAACCAGGCTCTTTTTCCCTGGAATCAGTGGTAGAAATTTAATTTCAAATAGTAGTAGAACTAGAAAAACCCTCCTTTCCCTGACTCTCCCCCTGACCAGCGTTTCTTAGGAAGTATTGTCCACTGTCTTTTTACTCTTCCTGTAAACTTCTTGAAGGAGTAGTGTTGTCTCCCATTCCTACCCCTTTAATTCTCAGACCGCCCCCAAATTCTGTAGCAGTTTGCTTTACAGCTTAAGCAATGAGATCTTGCTAAGATGATCAATAACTCCTCGATTGTCAAAATGGCCATTTTTTAGTGATCAGCTCTTGGGCCTATGTTTTGCATTTGATCCTAATAATAATTTCTTTATTGAAATTCTCTTTTGGCTTTCATGAAACTCTTTAATATTTTCCTCAAATTCCTCTAACCCCTCTTTTTCTTTCTCCTTTCAGGCTTTTTTTTTTTTTCCTTCCTTCCTTTTTCCTTTTTTAACCCTGCTTCCTAAATGTTAGTGTTGTCCTTGCTTCCATCTTGGGCTGCCACTTTTCTAACTGTACACTCTCTCCCTGCATGATCTTATCCAAAGTCTTACTATTTTAGTTATTACCTAAGTGCTGATGGATCCCAAATTTGTAACTCTAGTTCTATTTTTCTGAGTTTCAGACCAGTGATTTGCTGAGTATCTCCACCTAGAGGTCCCAAAGTACCCCAATCTGAAGAGATTCCAGACAATTCACCACCAACTACTTTAAGTCAGTTCCTTTCCTGAGTCTCCTCTTCCAGTGTTGGCAAGTCTTGATATTGCCTCCTACCTTTAATTAGTTACCACGTTTTGCTCCTTTTGCCTCTTAAGTATTTGACGCACACGATTTTCCACTGTTTGCCTACAACTCCTGCTCTAATACAGATCCCATTTTTCTTGTAATTTTATTACATCACCTTCTGCTTTTCTTTCCTGTAGCTTCATAGCTCTTAAGTTGTTCATCTACAGAGTTGCCTTGTGATTTGATCTACCTGAAACCCAAATCAGACTGTGCTACTCCTCAGTGTAAACCCCTTTATTATATCACTGGTACCAACACGATCAATGAGAGCTCTTTAATAAGGCACATGTGGCCTCCTTGATCGTCCCTGTCTTCCTGTCATGTTTCTGAACATTTTACTGTTCAGCAGTATTGTCTTTATATTCATCAGGACATACCATACCAAACTCTTTCTCTCTCTGACATGTTTTTGGTCATGATGTCCAAATGCATAGAACCATCTTTTTCCTTCCTCTGGCTAACCTGTACTATGTCAGGTGTTTTTCTTCTCTGAGAACACACCTCAAACTGTGTTAAGTATCTCACTCTTGTATTCTCCTTTTTTTTAGCCTCTGCTTCCTGACTTGCATTCACTGGAACTAAAGGAGATCCTTGTGTACTTCCAAAGTTGGATTATGTTTATTCAGAGTTTTTCCTACATTGCATTTATGGAAGGTAGCAGAGTCTCTTCAGCATACATGAAAGTATCTCTGCAGCAGTTTATCATTTAGAGACAAAATTTGAAAATAATAGTATTTACTAACCAAAAGTAGTGTTTCCGGCATTCAGAGCTTATTATACTCTACATCCTTGTATCACTGCCACCTCCGTGCAAGTTTAGCCAAAATTTGAGGAATCCTACTGATAGAAGAGGAGTAAGCTTCTTGGTTTTGGCGGTATTGGGATTGTATCCATGTGTGCTAGTAGTCCAGGGTTCAGAATGTGTGAAGTTTTGACTAACTTGGGATAAATCTCCTGTCAAAAGGTAGTTGAGACATTTGTGTTATCTTAAGAGAGAAGAAAATCTACCATCTATATAACTGAATCCCCTCCAGAACTTTTCTACTTTCTTCCAAATAAGATAGAACAGTCTGGTGCTACCTGGAATGCCTAGATCTTCCCTAGGATGCTTTGTGTTCTCTTAGTGCTTATTATTCTGAATATTTAAAAACT